TTATTCTTCTTGATTTTATTTATTTATGCTCTAATCTTTATTATGTCTCTCCTTCTACTGACTTTGGGCCTCTTTTGTTCTTCTGTTTCTAGTTTCATCAATTGTGAGTTTAGACTGCTCATATGGTGTTGTTCTTCTTTCCTGAGCTAGACCTGTATAGCAATGTATTTACCTCTTAGCACGGCCTTTGCTGCATCCCACAGATTTTGCAGTGTTGAATTATTATTGCCATTTGTCTCCATATATTGCTTGATCTCTGTTTTTATTTGGTCATTGATCCATTGGTTATTTAGGAGCATGTTGTGAAGGCTCCATGTGTTTGTGGGATTTTTCATTTGCTTTGCATAACTTATTTCTAGTTTCATACTTTTGTGCTCTGAGAAACTGGTTGGTACAAGTTCAATCTTTTTTAATTTACTGAGGCTCTTTTTGTGGCCTAGTATATGATCTATTCTTGAAAATGTTCCATGTGCACTTGAGAAGAATGTGTATTCTGCTGCTTTTGGGTGTAGAGTTCTGTAGATGTGTATTAGGTCCATCTGTTCTAATGCGTTGTTCAGTGCCTCTGTGTTCTTACTTTTTTTCTGTCTGGTTGATCTGTCTTTCAGAGTGAGTGGAATGTTGAAGTCTCCTCGAATGAATGCATTGTATTCTATTTCCGCTTTTAATTCAGTTAGTATTTGTTTCACATATGTAGGTGCTCCTGTGTTGGCATCCCCTCTTCTCTTGCTGAAGTATTACCTGAACTCTTCTTGGACTTCTGCAGAGAAGGGGTGCTCACTATTCTTCCTCCTGGGAAGTAGAATCTGGCTCCCTTTAGCTTCCCCTCACTGCCTTACTGGGCACAATGCTGCCTTCTGCAACATCAGAGGATAAAGCTGCTCCCATAGCCCTTGATGGCACTTTAGAGGTTCGAGGGCAGCAGCCAGGCTCCAGGCTGCATAGCCCCAACCCCAATAGCATTCCAAGGACATTACTGTCCCTGTGTCATGTATCCTTGTTTGCTTTCCTTGGGTATGATCCAGGCAGTGATGTCCTTAAAGTATAACTCTGTATCCCTTAATGACATCACCTCATCAAGGACATACCACTTACCAGTGTGTCAGGGGCTCTATACCTGCATTATTTCTCTGACCTTTAGAACAACCCCTATGACCCAGGAGCTAACATCATGTCTGTCTTACAGATGAGGAAACTGAGGCCCAGAGAGTCCATGTCCCTACCATGTCACTTACTGGATCCGCACCGGAGCCAGGATTGAAGAAGCACCCAGGCAACAGCCTTGTATGCCAAGTTAATAAATGACTTGTGAACCCAGTTCTTAAGCCCACGCCCTTGGTGTCTATGGTTTTGTTTCAGAATTACTTATGCTCATGTCAGGCTCTTCCACATCATTCACCTCTGCATCTCTCCTGCTCCTTCACCTGGCCTGCCACCTGGAAGAGCTCACAAAGGGCTTCTGAAGGACTGACCACTGAGAACCTGTTGCCTGAGGCCCAGCTTTGGAAGCAGTGCTGAGCCAGACTCTCTGATGCCCTGTTCAGGGCTGTGCTCAGATCCAAAGCCCTGGGGACTGGGGACTCCAGACCTCATACCGGGGGCACCCCCAGGTGGTTGACCAGGCATGAAGTGGCCCTCTCATCATGCTCAGAGGGGCCTGGTGACTTGCTGGGGATGGGTGGCCCCTCTGGACTCCCATGTTACTCCTACAGGCAAGTCCCTGGAAGGTTGCCTACCTTGGTCCTTACCCTCTCTGTCTGGCCTCCCTGGAAGACCTCTTGGGGGATGTGGCCACATCAGCCAAGACAGGTTTAGGAAGGAGCATACAGTGCAGATAGGTCACTGAGCACCCACCCTCAGCCTGCCAGGAATCCCCACTCACTCATTCACCAGGATTTCAATTTGTGCCGATAACTTAGCCCCAGGCTGGGCCTCCAGTGGGATCTAGAGCAACTGGTAGCTAAGGCCACCAGGCACTGTAGACTACAGAACTCAGCAAACCCTCTGATCTTTGAACCTGGAGGAATTCTGAGAGGTTCTTGTGGTCAAGCCCCTGTCCCTATCCAGGGCAGTGCCCCCTAGAAGCTCATTCTTCAGTCTTTGTTGCCTGCCACCTCCACTCTCCACAGTGAGCTCATGATACTGAGCTTTCTCTGGCTCAGCCTCTGCTCAGGCTGTTCTCCTTGACTGGGTGACTCCTGCCAAACCTTCAACCCCCAGTCAAGGCATGTGTCCCCTGCCTCAACCCGAGAAGCCTTCCTATATCTCTCAAGGCTGGGTGAGATACTCTCTGGGCTAGCCCTTAGCCTGGCTCTTATTTGGCCCTCATTCATTCACTCATAAACACGTAAGTATTTATGTAGCATCTGCTGTGTACGAGGAAACCAGGCCTGGGTGCACAACTTTGCCACCAAGCGGCTCTGTGGCTCTGGACCCCTCACTCCTGCCTGAGCCTCAGACTCCTCACCTGCAGAAGCGGAAAGAGTCTGCAGCTCAGCCTGGCTCCCAGGGCTTTCGTGGGGAGGCCAGATGTGAAAGCGTTCTGTAGACTGCCACTCAGGGCGAGTCAGCGTAGTTGTGACCTGACCCTTCTGTACTCTGAGCCCCCTGTTGTCCAGCTCACCCTTAGAGCTCCCTCTCCCCAGGGGACTGGTAGCCTGGTGGGGATGGGCTTGGGGGCTCAGGGCCTTCCAAGGTTGGCACCTGGATGAGAAACTGGGCAGGAGCACAGCCTGGAGGCATGGAAAAGGGCATGAACTTTAAACAGAACCAGCATATAAATCCTGCTGCACAGGGGCAGGGGTGTGGCATTGCTGGAGTGGGGGAGACATGCCAGGCTGCTCTGAGGCAACAGGGTGAAGGCTTTAATGCCAGAGGGCTTGGGAACTAACAAGAAGCCACTGGAAGCACAGGGTAGTGGGGGCAGACATCTTACACTGGACTATATGATTGGCTACCTGGGTTCTGCTCTAAGTTGCTCTGTGACCTCAGTCGAGACCCTTCTCTCCTTCAGGCCTTAAACTCCCATCTGTATGTTGGGAGCATCAGCTGTAGGGGTACCCAAGGCCCCTTCCCACTTGGATAGTCTATGCCAATTTTACGTGCCCTTCACAGCTTGGGATGGGGGGCCAGTTCAAGCTGTGCCAGAGACAGACAGGGACAGCTGGTGAGGCTCTCCGGAGGGCCAGGGGGCAAGGGAACCCATGCTCACTGTGGTCTCCTTCAGCCTGCAGAAGGGCCAGGCCCGGAACAGGACTCTGCCTGCCACGGCATAGATGGATTTCACCCTTGGCCCACTTTGCAGACTAAAAGATAGACACGGGTGCAGAGAACACAGACCCTCAGACCCTTAGAAATCATCCTTCCCACCCCACCCGCTCCCCATACAGAGGGAGAAACTGAGTCCCAGACAGCCATAAGGGCTTGCTTGGGCTCATGCAGCATGTCTGTGGCAGAGCCAGGACTGGTGTCCACCTATCACCAGCTCCATTACAAGTCTCAAGTCAGGTTCAGGTTATTCTGCCCATCATCCCTGTCAGCCAGCCCTCTGCTTCCAGGGATGCAGGCAAGCCTCAGTCTCCCTATCGAGCCAGGGAAGACGTAAGGGTTTTTGGGTCAGAGCTTGGTGAGGTGTTTTGAACTGGGAAGAAAGGAGAAGCAAGGAATGTGGAAGGGTTAATGTACTTAGGACCAAAACTCATCTCCCTGGATGAGGCACGTGGCAGGGAGTAGAATCATCCAGGTTGGGGACAGGACTGAAGCCCAGGCACTAGCAAAGCAGGAGGAGGGGGAGGGAGAGGGGGAGGGAGAGGG